CTCCCCCCGGGGCCTCCCCCGGGGTCTCTCGGGGTCTCCCCGGCCCCCTGTCCCAGACCTCCCTCTGGGGTTCCCAGGGGGCCAGGGCCGACCCGGAAGGGCTGGTGGCGGCCCGCGGGGTGGGCGGGCTTTGCCCACTGCGGTGGAGCCCACTCCGTGGCTCAACTCGGGCTCCTGAAGTCAGACATCAGGTCCACCCTCGAAAAACTCAGGTCCGGGGAGCGGAGAGAGTAGAATGAGGGCGAGGCACAATCTGGCTGTCTGCTGTTCACAGGACCTTTCTGGACCTTTCCACTCGGGTTTACTCTATCAAGTGGCAACGACGGAAGTCTCTGTGCCGCTTTGTTTGTAGATGAGGAAAGGGAGGGTGGGTGGGGTGTCTGGGCCTCCAGCTGGGGTTTGCCCTGCCCTAGGTGGGAGTCTGCGGGCTTATGCAGAGGCCTAGCAACCACAGAGACCCGCGGGAAATGAGGGAAAGTTGTTCAGGAGGCTGAGATCTGAAGATAACGGTTTGAAGCCAGCCTGGGCAGGAAAGGTCTGCGAGACTAACTCTAGTTAACCATGTAGATAAGACCTGACATATTTAATAAATCAGATCATTTTCATACCGATATGGTAATGAATTTCTGTCTGATACCAACTCAACAGTAAATTCAGATACTTCTTTCCAAAATTGCTCAGCTAGTTTCCAGAAATTAAAAGTGTATGTATAGCCAGGAGCTGCTGGGTCTCACCTATGACTAGCTTCTCAGGAGGCTGAGATCTAGGATCTAGGTTTGAAGTCAGCCTGGGAAGACAAAATTCGTGACTCTTTATCTTCAGCTAACCAGCTAAAAGCTGGGAGTAGAGGCCTTGGCTTGAGTGGTAGAGTGCCAGATGTGAGTGAAAAAGCCAAGTGAAAGTCCTGAGTGCACAGCCCTGCGCCCTCGTGCATGCACACATACACACACACACACGTAGGGATATATTTCTACACATACAGAGTGCGCATCGATGAGAACAGCATATTACACAGCAGCAGCAACAGCAATTCGTCTGTGTTCTGGAGTCATCTGAACAAAGTAGAGAAACATTTAACACATTCCATTAAAAGAAAAGAAAAAACAGAAAACAGCAAAGTATTATGTTGTGGTTTCTGGCGTTAAAAAAGTTTTGTTTTTTTTTTTGGCTTCTCAGTTATCTGGAAAGAAAACATTCTATAGAAGACCATCTTTTTGTGTGTGTGTCAGTCATGGAGCTGAACTCAGGTCCTGGACTCTGTCTCAGCTTTTTTGCTCAAGTCTAGCACTCAACCACTCAAACCATAGCACCATAGCCTTACTTCCAACTTTTTGGTGGTTAATTGGGAATAGAAGTCTCATGAACTTTGTTGCCAAGGCTGGCTTTTTTTTTTTTTTTGTTGGTTGTGGGACTTGAACTCTGGGCCTGGGCGCTGTCCCTCAGCTCTTCAGCTCAAGGTGAGCACTCTACCACTTGAGCTACAGCGCCACTTCCGGTTTTCTGGTGGTTTATTGGAGATAGGAGTCTCACGGTCTCTCCTGCCCGGGCTGGCTTTGAACC